GACCAAAAGGAACTGCAGCAGATGGTGGAGGAGTTGGACGATGTCGGCAGAGCCATTGGCCTCACGATAAACCGGAACAAGACAATGGTCATGCGGAACGAATGGGCAGATGCGTCACCTATCATACTCGGAGGCGCCGCACTCCCGGACACCGACTGCTATGTGTACCTCGGTCGACTCATCTCCGTGGACAACAACTTGCGCGCAGAGATCATGAGGCGCAAGAAATGCGCATGGACGGCAATGGGAAGCATCAAAGAGGCGGCTCAGCTCATCTCGGACAAGAAGATACGAGCTGACCTATTCGACTCTACGGTACTGCCCGCACTCTGCTACGCATCCGAGACGTGGGCGGAGAACAAGACGTCTACGATGATGTTGACTCGCGCACAAAGAGCGCTGGAGCGGACATTGCTGAACATTAACCGCCGGGAGCAGAGAAGCCGCAACTTGCGCAGCACAGACATGCGCTTAATGTCTGGTATCCGTGACGCCGCAGTGTATACGTGGGACGCAAAGAAACGATGGGCCGGACATGTGGTCAGACGCATGGATGATCGGTGGACCACACGCGTTACGTTCTGGTATCCACGAGACGTGAAGCGCACACTTGGCCGTCCTGCAACACGATGGAGAGACTCCCTGAAGAAACTTCAAGAAGATGCGGGCCAACACTGGGCCCAAACCGCTCAAGATCGTCAAAAATGGAGGGAAGCGTGTGCTCGCCGCTGAGGATCATCGGCTGACAACGAGCATCCAAGTATCCAAGTATAAGTAAGTTGCCTGGAAGAATCGTCCTCAGAAAATTAGGTCCCGAAGAACTTTAATTTCAGCCCCGAGAAGTCAAACCTTTCATAGGGATGCATTCAACTGTTCTTTATTCCAAGGAAAACACCGTAATTTGCCTAAAACTGTCTCTCTGTGCATAATTAATCGAATCTAATGCGGTCTGCACAAGCAATTCTTGCCCTCGGATACGCCACGCACGCGCCTGTGGCTGGCAGTCCTCGAAATTGCGACCCCCTTCCGACCAAAATGCGACCCCTTCGTTCGAACAGTTCGAACGGACGGTTGACCCTGCTCGCAATGCGACGGACTAAGAGTAGATGAGAATAAGCTAAAAACTCGTCGATAAAAATGGGGGTCCCAAAGAGGTAGACGGGGGGTGAGGGGCGTGGAATAGAGGAGAACATATCGAGAAATTTGATAGGATATCGGCATGTGTGGGGTCACAAAACAGATACCTAAAATGACGAAGAGTAGGCGCTTGGCTTGCTTTACAGTGTTATTGAGGGACCTGTCCTACTTGCTTTTGATATTTATCGTATTCAATAATTGCAGGTGAACTAAACAGCACTTTAACCCCTATTCATAACATCATAACTCAGAAATGGGCTATCGTGGAATGGTATCTCTACGCGTATCAGTTAACGATAAACGACCTTTGTTCATCAGTAATTACTCATTCCCCACCTGAATGAAAGACAATATAAATCATGACCCTCACCATCGCTACTATCGACACCGCCTCATTCAAAGAAGAGATAAGAGGTTTCAATTGAACTTACTTCACCGCATTTACGCGAACTCCATGTGGCGCCATCTCAAGAGCTAGGCACTTTGTAAATTGGTCAATAGCTGCTTTGGACATGCAGTAGTAGGAAACACCAGGAAACTGAAAACTTTTCCAGATCATTATTATTATCTCATAATGTTGAAAATGATGAACTGTTCACACTACACTCTAACAAGTGCTGTTCGCATTCTACTTCCTTAGGCGAGGTGACCCGTTATTGTGGAACCAGTAGTACAAGTGTTGAAGGTCTCGAAATATTGGTATAATGTGCGCTTAATGGTGCTGTTGATGCTATCTGATGCCATGCGTAACACTAAAAGTAACATGACGGCACGCTTCCCCAAAAAGAAAGTCATGCACTGCGATCTCGAGCTGCAAACAAGCCTTCAAACCAGTGCCATCGAGCAAAATGCAACCGAGGTCAGGTTTAGAATTCAAATTTCCTTTTGCTGGACCCTGGGTTATGTAAGCCCAGTGTTGTTTTGAACTTGGGTTGGAACACCCCAAATGCAGCGGGGGGCATACCGGACCTGCACATAAACTACGGGCCGCGGCGATAAGCATCATCACGCTGCCGCAAACGGGACCACCTGACACGGCAAACTGAATAGAGGCGGAGCTGAAAGTCCAGAAAACACCAAATTTGAAGAAAAGAAACTCGTCATTTCTTCCCAAGCAGACAGAGATTTCGTTCATAGAAAGAAAAACTTGCCGCGCATGGACCTGCAATGCTTGAAACATTCACGACCGTTCCTTTCGCATCGATTATGTGAGGAAGCGCTAGACGAGTTAGCATGACGACACTGAACAGGATCCAATAAAAATTGATTCAACTTAACATGAGAAGTTCATTTGGTAAGACGTTCATAAGAGTAACACAGAGCCATAAAAATGGAACGACTTTTTCTAACACAATTCGGAATTAGAGTAGAACATGCTACTTCTCTCGCTTCTGCCTTCACCATCGCCTTCTAAAAGCAGCACGGTATCGGTAAGATGAACCTGATGAAACACATCGTGCTGCGTCAGTTGCCACAAGATACACAAGATACATAAGGGACGCGCAGTTCATGGCTTTCCTGCTTTCGGGCAAAGCGTGGGAGTGGCATCCACTGTGACAAGCAACGGTAATTGCACTCTCTTCTAGACAACGCACCTCGCGACAACCTCCCTGTACCTCTTCAAATCTCCACCCGATCAATAGAAAGAGTTTGAACAATAGGAGCTTGTTTTAAGCTCAGACACCAAAAAAAAACTTCAAAACATGCATCTACCTTCTCACATTCACTTCCATTTGGCGATCATACACATCAATATCTGTATCTAGGATGTTTCCAGACGTCAGCACTCCAGCGCAGTTAATCTGAATCAACAAATTAAATGACGATTGACGATTTACCCTACAGCGACAAGCATCCTAGAAGACCGGAACGACTTGTGAAAAAGCTGCACCAATGTGTCGATTCGTTGGAACTCCTTCATTGTGTGATCGATGAGTTTCTTTGCATTCGCCTCGTCACATAAATCGCCAACAGTAGTGATTGCCTCAAAGATCAAAAGGATAGATTAAGAAGAAATTTGTTCAAAATCCAATGACTAAATGTTCTAGAGAGAGATCCGAGAATTGCCGAGGAGAATCGTAAATATCTTATTATTTCTAGAGATTCACTTTAGCCTTTCTCGCAAATAAGAGGGAGGCCTACAACAACAGAGATGTAGACCGTTATTTATGCTCGGCATGAATGAGCAAAATTCTGAACCTCATAAATAATACTCTTTTGTTCACTATGTATGTACAATAAATGCGCGAAGGCGCTATCGCTGCTATCGGCTTTGGGCTAAGTGATGAGTAAAAAACACCAGAACAGAACAACCCACTCCCGGTGCTCCAGCGTTGAAGCATGACTTGACAGTCTTTTTCAGCGCGTCTTCATCTCGACCACTGAGCGATAATGCATAACCTTCTTCCGCTAGCCGTAGAGCAATTGCCGCTCCAATGCCAGACGAGGCTCCTTAACATCCACACTAAGCTGTTTTTCTACTAAATTTAATCCTAAAACAGAATAGAAATATGTTATAGGATTTTCTCTAGTTAAAGACTATTACCTATTCCTAACTCAAAATCACTGTGAACATTCCCGTTGCAGGCATCACAGAACAATAGGCAAAATGAGCAAGAAAGAGTATCAGAACAAATCATGCGATAAATTGCAAATAATTAAAAAAGGGTCTCGGAACATAAGAAGAACTAGTCCTTTTTCATTCTCACTGGTTCATTTCTTGTATGAGAGGGAGAGAACCACTTAACAATGACAGAAACTGCACAAAATTGATACCGCCGGATTGAGTAACAGAAAAATTCATAGTTCAAAGCACTAATGAGTGCTAAAAGGTCGTAGCGCAGCAAGTGACACTCTTTCCGCTCTCGTGTAGGGGCGTGTAGTCACGCTTTCCCTGTACCTTCACAGATTGTCGGTATTAAGACTACACCTCAATAAAGTTACGAGCAATTTGCCGACAAATGCGAGGGTAGCCGCGTCCTGACCTAATGACACATATTCGCAACTGAGAGGCGAAAGTAGGGAAATCAAATATGGAAAAAATGTACATGTTAATTAACATACCAGTTATGACTGCAACAAGCACCATTTTGAGCTACCTGAATGTTATTGTAAAGTTTAGCCTTTTCAAACCTCAAAAACAGCAGTACGAGTTGAGTTCGGAAACAACAACATAGCAACATAGTGAACTTGCAAATATTTTTATGGCGAACCTCATATAATTTCGTCAGAAGAACAGTTGACAAGAAGCGACAATACATGTACATATATGACCGTAATCTAAGATCACAATTTGACAACCTAAGAATACCTAAACAAAGTCAAAATAAAAATCAATTAACGCGGATGCATGATCCCTCTCCCTCCGTCAACTCTTAGCAGTTCTCCAGTAGTGAACGAACTTCGCTCAGAAGCCAAGAACAGGATTGCTTCGGCGACCTCCTTTGCATCTCCGGGCCGGCCGAGTGCATGTGTTGTTTTGCTCTTTTCCAGAAACTAAAACAGTTGGTTTAGAAAATCAACAAAGGGGTTCATGACAGCGAAGAAAATGCATACCGCGGCATAAGTCTTTTCGTCTTGACCAGATCGCCTGTGCAGATTTGTTACGGTAACTCCAGGACTGCAAAAAAGGAAATGTGAAAACAGCAAATCGACGGAAGTGAAGTATACTACAGAATTGAATTCAGAAAGATTTCATTTGCTTCAGAATCTACAAACTGTTCAGTGCTTCAACAGTGTCCGACTACGTAACGAAGTTGGCTCAAAATTCTAATAATATATAATAGAAGGAAAAAAACTAGCATGTTTCTTCAAGCCTAAACACTACTATCAAAAAACGGAATTTCCAAGTCCTAGAGCAAGCACTGGGGACGCCTCCAGCAGCTGTCCTTGTGCTCGCTCGCCCGGAACAACAAGTGAGCTATTCGCTAAACCCGTTTTAAGACGTGACGACAACCAACGAGAAACTTGCACAAATTATCAAAGATAAATTCAGCTTTCGAATTAAAGAACTGACATTATGATAGCACATACAACACAGCAGAATCAACGACAAAATCGAAAAGAATTAATCAAATGCGCCAAGGTTTAGACCACTCGAGCGACCAAGCTTCAAGGCCACACTCGTGATACAAAGGCATCAAAGAGCGAAAGGGCGCTGAGAAAACATGAGTATGTTGTGCGAGGACCGTTGCGAGAGTATTATTCTCCACTTAAAGGAATCTTCCGCGGAAAAAGCTCCGCCTCCATTACCACAGAAAAACGATACCCCTTAGGCCCCTAGCCTCATGAGCATAGCAAAAAGAACGGAACATAAGCGTTAGTTTCGATAATACTAATCCTACACACAAGACAAAATGATCACTCTTTCCGTGGAAGATTCCTTTAAGGTATCGTTTTCTGTGGTAATGAGGGCGGAGCTTTTTCCGTGGAAGGATTCCTTTAACAAATGACTGTCTTCTCCTGAACCCTTTGACAACAATGTCGATTTGTAGCTAGCGAGCTAGAGGGCACGCCCGTTTTTGGCGCGTCCGATCCTCGCTCAATATTGGGCAAAATTGTCTATAGGAGCAGCTTTTCTATGAGAATTTTGACTTTGGCAAAGCACTAAGTATAGCTGTGGTCTCAAAATTTCACATTGTATATATCTGGAGAAAAACTAAAAGTTTGGAAGGGGAAATCCGATTTCAAAGGGATAAAAAGTAGGAACTCCTGAAATTTATGTGCACAGTTAAATTTTCAATATATTTCTGATCCTTCCCTTTATTTGGAAACCATGGAATGACGAAGGAGCCTGAATAGTAATTCGTGTTCAGCTTTATCATGAAAAACCCCTATTAACATGCTGGCGAGCTCAATGGCACATTCACGATGCTAAAAATAGATTTAACAAATTTTCTTGCGCCTTACGAGGTCAGTGCCTCGCTGATCAGTTAGAACTCTTCTATTCTAACTGATCAGCGCTCTGTGTGGCAGCGGACTTTTCCGCTCGAAGGGTGGAACCGACGGCCTCTGAAGACGACGATTCAGTCGAAACGTTAGGCCATTAATAAAAGTTCCACCGAACAACCTCGTAAGGCACAAGAAAATTTGTTAAACTTACAACTGACATGCCGAGGTTACAAGAAGAGAGAAGTTGGAGAATTCTTCGCTAAACATAGACATTCTGAAGCTTGCTAATAAATTCAGAGGTGTTAGAAGTGTTTAAATGTGCAAAGAAGAAAATTTCAAGTGGCACCCAGCATTGGGCGCCATTGTACCAAGCAACGAACAAAGTGGCACCCAGCGGTGGGTGCCATTGTCGCCAGAGCGTCAAATCATTGCAACAAGTAATAGAACGACAAGCAGTAGGGTACTCACAAATTCGCCTTTTTAGCTTCTCACCCAAATGTTTGAAAAAATAGAACTGCAACTCCATTTTACTCAACTCGTTAAATAAGTAAATATGAGGTCTGCTATAGTCAGGGCTTCAACTATGAAACTGAAGAAAAAAAAAACAAATTGGTGAAAACAAATTTTCTCAAAACTATTTGGAATTCAATAATATTACAAACATACTTGACAGCATTCACTCTGACTCCATGTGGCGCCATTTCAAGAGCGAGACACTTAGTGAACTGATCCACGGCCGATTTAGACATGCAGTAGTATGTTACACCAGGGAACTGAAGACCAGTTACTGAATGGAGATTTGGGATGCCAGTTATCGGAGCAAACAAGAAATTGCAGGAAAATGCCAGTTTTTAAAGTGCGAACAATAAAAACGCAGTTTTGAGAATTGAACGTTGAAAATAATTGAAGCCACAGTATCCTCAGATCTACTGTACAAAAGAAAGAGAACACTTACCGGACACGGCCCATTAATGCTGCTAACATTGACCACTGTCCCTTTTGATTTGATAATGTGAGGGAGTGCTGCTCTAGTTAGACGCACCAAGCTAAATTGAGCCTCTTTGCTATAACAAGTTTACAAAGAGGAGAGCATCTACCATCTGACGTTGACATTGAATAGTTCATCGTAGACGCTGATGTCGGAATTAAGCACCTCACCAGCTCTGAGAATTCCGGCGGAATTCACCTAAAATCAATGAAAGCCTTCAATAGGTTCTACCCAATAAATCAATATCAAACACATCGATCAATTTCATGAATAGAATAACGGAATGGAAATTAAAACCATTGCGGACACTTATGTGACTCTCTAAGGCGCTAACAAGGAAGGTCTTTCAGGGTGTGCCAAGCTTTTTCAAAACGGTCTTTTGCATGATATAGAGGCACATGCGGGAACCACAGAACCATGGTTAATTTTTCCTGAACGGCCCTCTGAATACCAGAAAAGGGGGTCCCTAGTCACACCTTTTTCACCAGTTTTTCAATCAAAGTCTATTTGTAAGGGTTACTGACGTTCCTAATCATGAATTTGGTACTAATTATTCATGCTAACTCCATTTTGCGCGAATTTGGAAACGTCAACTCGAAATGCAAAAATTTGTCACCACGAGGAATCGAACTAGGGACCCCTTTTCTGGTATTCAGAGGGCCGTTCAGGAAAAATGAACCATGCTTCTGTGGTCCCCATGTGCCCCAATGTCATGCAAGAAACCATTTTGAAAAAGCTTGGCACACCCTGAACGACCTCCCTTGTAAGTGGCATTATTACATAATACAATCATATGGGCCACCTAGAGAACCACCTCGAAGGGAGAGAAAAAATTCCTTAGGATTTTTTTCCAAAGCAGAGTAACTACTGCGTAGAAACAAATGAAATCCAAGGGACCTTTCTCCGGGAAGGTTCAGTGTTGCAGTAGTAGCTCACGATCACCGCTTCATACTGTCTTCTACGTCACCAACTCCGTTTCCCGCAAAGAAATAGGCCGTAATAGCAGTTAATTAGCTCACACGACATCAAACTGCATAGATAATGCCAAAAAGCACATGTGACATCGATTTTTCAATCCGCTACCACTTTTGCAACAAATCTGCATCTACGACAGGGGGTAGCGCCGGAGACCGGTCGCAAGCCCTATACAGCATCGAACACTCAAACCTTGGGACCAAAGAGCCGCCTAAGCGTGAATATCGAACAAATCCTCGGCGGAAAGGAAAATGCAACTCGAAGGAAACGAGGCCGTTTCGCAAGTTTTCGCCGACTCACCAATGAATCAATTTTATTGAATTTATTGATCGTATTGTCGACAATAATCTTCGGTGCACTATCTGTGGCTAGATCCGTTGCACTGATGATCACCTATAAAAGGGATACTACAGCGAAACAAATAACCAGAATAAATGCGAAGCTCTGCTCAAAATTGGTAACTATTCGAGTATTACAACTTCAAAAACCATAATTTTATTTTCTTGTCGAAACTTTGCCCGTAGGGGTAATTCGATGCCCTGATTACGAAAATGACATTCATTTTTAGCGGTGGCGCCATCTGGCGCCACCTTGTCACGACACTTGTTTTCACCAAATTCGGTGTAAACTTCTGTATAGGGGTTATTTGGGTGTCCTGATTACGAATATGACATTCGTTTTTGGCATTCGCGCTGTTTAACGCATATTCCACGTTCTTCTGGATTTCTCACCTATGCATAGTGCCTGGCTCTAGCTTAGGGGTTAGGGTGACTTCAGGGTGAGTAGACCAAGAACCGTATGGCAAAAGTTCAGCGTGTGAGATCACAGGATGAGTGACTTACTCATCCTCGGAGCCTCCTCTCCCCAAAGGCTTAGTCCTGATCGCGATCTAATCAGTGAGAGGGCGCAGACGAGCGGAAAATAGGCGCCAAATAGCGCCAGCGCCAAAATGAATGTCATATTCGTAAGGACACCAAATAACCCCTATACAGAAGTTTACACCGAATTTGGTGAAAACAAGTGTCGTGACAAGGTGACGCCAACTGGCGCCAGATGGCGCCACCGCTGAAAATGAATGTCATTTTCGTAATCAGGGCACCGAATTACCCCTATGGAAAGTTTCGACGGAAAAAATTGAAATTTTGGGGTTTTATTAATTGAGTAACACCCAAAATTGATGTTAAAAGGAGAAAACAAAACAAAATCAAGGAATAACCACGGAACAACTCACGTCATTTTCAGAAATTCCCTGTTGAACACATTCCTTAGCGACTTCTTTCAAGGCATTTTCATTTCGACCAGTGAGGGATAGTTGATACTTGTTCTTAGCGAATAGTAATGCAGCCGCGCGGCCGATTCCGGAGCTTGCCCCTCAAATTACAAAACATTAAACTTAAGTCTGCGAACACATTTACGAAAAACAGCATTACAACTGTTTATCAAAAATCGTTTAAAAATGGCTTATTATTTTAGACGAACTAAGGCCTCGGCGCAATGTGCCTCCCGGGGGGGGTCAGTTTGTCGGAAAGGCCACAGGGACTAAGCCTAACGCAGAAGGACATTGCTTATGCAGCTCGGATTCCCTCTTCTCCTCCAAAGCTTCGTCCGAAACTGAACAAATTCGTGAATCTGATGTCAAGTTTTCCGGCTGGCCCCTGGAGCCACGTTGCGTCAAGGCTTCAATAAAGAAAAACATAAAGAAACAAAAAAAGAGAACTTAGAACTCAAACTGCTCATCGAAGTGAAAGAAAAACTCTTGAAATGAACTAGAACAAAACCCCGCATAGAAAAACTATCCACACCTGAGCGTTAATAGCTTCCTAAGCCACCCAACAGCCTATTTCGGAAATGGTACTTCAACTTACCAGTTATTATAGCTACCGGCATGACTTTCATGGGAGTGTTCCAGATTTTGACCGACGTTGGGAAGAGCACAGACGACAGAGTAGGCAGGGGTGGAGCTTATTGTCTGGCTCTCTGTCGCTTACTGTAGCGCCATAATGCTACGGTCAGGGCCGGGTGCAGGCAAGCCGATGTTACGTATTTATCCCACCCTGCGCCCGTGCGATTGCGTACAGCAGGCGATTACAGTACTCTCACGGCTAGTTCCGCTATCGTTGGCACCCTGTTTTCGATTGAATAACTACGGGTAGAACTTGTGATGAGAGGAAATAATAAGACTAGATGACTTATATCTAGTCTAGCAGTTTTTTGCATATATCTTCGAGACGTCAGCAGTGAATATTTGTGGTAGTGGATATAAAAAATTCCTATCTCCTATCCAGCAAAAGTGGAAGCGAACACTGAACATAACATTTAATGCAAAATGATTGGAATCGTGGAGAACAGTTTTCCCATTTATAGCGCAATAGTTAAGACCGACGTCATAGTCGGCGACGGACCAAGCGATGGAGCGATCGCGATCGCTCCATCGCTTGTCCGTCGCTTGCCAATCGCTCTCGGTCGAGCGATTGGCAAGCTTTTGCTCACAGCTTACGTAAAGAACTGCTATTATCTTCCAACGCAGAAGCTGTAAAATCCCACACAAGGTTGGCGAATAAAAGCGCCAAGTCATCATGCTCCTCCCCACCCCCTGCTGGTCCCCCTAGTACTAGGCTGTGAGTCTAGGGGGATGTGTAAGCAGTTTTCATTACCCTCAAAGTTCACCCTCTTCTCCAAGGCTCAGTCAGCGTGAGCATGCCCCTTTTGAGTACACTAGCGCCTCAAGAAATTGATTCGCAACGGTAACGCAAACGCTCCTGTAAGCGGATTATCTCCAATGGAACTGAATTACATTTTACGGCATCTTTTACAGAAAGAATGAACATATCCCGTGGCCTATCATCTACAAGTATGCGCTCTCACTTTCAGCACAAGTCATCCTCACAAGGATACCTCCGTATCAGATTTCTATGTCTATGGAAATATCTACAATTGCGAATAAATCAACTACAACTCGAAAACAAGGTGGCCGTGAGACGCAACTACTAAGCAGTTCATGATGAAAACTACCTCACGAATTAGAACTCTCTCTTCCCTCAGGTGCCAAGTAAACTTCGTCCCCTCGAGTCCCTCACTGCACTGGTACAATGCATAATGGCATCAATGATTGTTCTAGTGCGGAACATTATAAATACACTAGCACATTACCCTATTTTGCATGTTAAGAAGTAAATGACATGAGGAATTAGAGTGGTTTCCAGGCGCGCAATGGTTTTCCAACGATATGTAGAGCATCTCTCGGTACCCGTCACCTATCTGAAAGGAGAAATGCATGGCTCAACTCAGTACAATATTCGGAGCTGTGCTAGTTATGAATTGATTAGTCTTCCCATTTCCTTTCATCACGAGCCCCGCCTGTGATCATCAGTTACAAATGTCAACGCCAGTAGAACTAGGCGTGGGCGTACTGTAATCGCTTGCGGTACGCAATTGCACCGGCGCAGGGTGGGATATATACGTAACATCCAGCAAGCACCCAACTAGGGGAGGTTTACAAGCCACGCATGAAAGGGCAGTGGTCAACCGCAAGGGTTTTTAATTCAGAATTTTGTAGTGTTCTCTGAGCATTCTCGCACATACACACTATTGTAGATCCCTTCTTTCCTTCCTTCACTGTGTATGACTATTACAAACGAAAAATCCAAAAATTCCGGTTAAATTCCCTCTGAGAGGTTTTTCAGTGACCTGATATGACCTGATAACAAATGTAGTCGAAGTTTCTACAAACTTCGAGTTCCACTCTTCTCTTTCGTTCGAAGCGCAAACTTCTTCGGAGGAAGGCAATCGCCGACGCGGCACTGCACGTGTGCGTCATCTCAACAAGGTGGTGTAAACTCGGAGCGGACATGTTGCGCGTGCGGGCGGCGACTGCCCCCCCCCCCAAGTAACAAAGGAGGGACCCTGGTCGCCAAGGCCACTGAGAGCAGGATCTGCATTTCTGTGTTTTTTGGGGCGCTGATTTCAAATCTACCTTCTGAATGTACTAAATGACTCTTATAACAAAGTCATGAAGGCCTTCTCCCCAGCGACATTGCGAAGATAAGGCAATCGACATCACATTGAGATGTGTAGCAGTGGCAAAGTTTGTGTGGGTGGGAGGCGTAGGCTTGCGTGCGGTCGTGGGATCGATTCGGTGGGATATTTCGTGTTTTGCTTTTTCTGGCAGGGTGATTGGGAACACTTTTAACTTTACTGTTTCATCAATGGTTGCTCATACGTGCTTGTATAGCGACTAAGAATGAGGCGGCGAAGTCGTGTAGTGGCAAGTGGCGCTACTCACCACGTACGCAACCCAAGGATCAAATCCTGGGTCGTGCTTCGTAACCAAGCCTTCCATCCCTCCGGGGTCGGTTAATTGGTACCAGACTTGTCTGGGAGGATAAAAACACTGACTTGTACATCGGCTGGCCCCCGCAAGTCATTGTATAGGCCACATCGCATTCAAACGCCACTACGAATGTACAAATGGAAGTAGAATGCGTGCCGCATCCCAAAAAGGGATTGATCAATTGACAAATGCTTTATTGAGGTCTATTCCAGTTAGGGGGAAGGGCATCGCAATGCAGTTTTTCCAGAAAGCTAGGGTAACTCCGAGCCAGGGGGAGTGTAGCCAGCCTAGGGGGTGGGGGTGAGGGCAGTCACTTGACATGCGTGAAAAGCTGGAATGTTCGAGTTCACCGAAAACTGCATCATGATGCCCTCCCTAACTGGAATAGACCCCTTTATCCTTTGTTATAATGTGTTTGGGGACAGCTGCTACACGCTTCGACACCGCCTGCACACTACTGCTCATGGCGCCCATAGCGCACCCACCAGGGATTTTTGCTCCGAACGAGTGCGATGTTCGTGTTTAGGAGGCCAAACATCACAGAATTCCGAATGCTAGCCAAACTGATATCTCGGCCTCACTTCAAAAAAGATACATTCATTTAGTGGTTTTTCTTACCAGTCAGCAATCCTAAACCTCGTCGATCACGGATCGAACTTTCCGAGAAATTCGCTCATGTCACCAAAAATTCAACAGCAATCAACAGCAACAGAGCGCTGAAATCAGTCGACCGAAATAGGCAGGAAAAACAAGAGTAAGGTCGTGTTTGCGGCAAAACACAACTACGGGTCCCCCCCACACACACAAGTCCGAAATAAGGCCAGGAATGTGGACATCGTGAGAAAATTGTTTTTGTCTGTACTTGGCGATGTATTCCGTCTCCAAAGACTGGAAAAGACTATTTGTGGACGTATCGCGTAATTTCTTCCAGCAGTCTTCCGAAGCAAGGTCAATGTTGGGAGCCCCAATCCCAAACAGTGGAAGACTCCATTCTTAGCGCTGTCGAAAGAGATCCCCAAAGTTAGCACCTCGCACCTTGTGACAAGACTCGGGTGCACCCATCCCACAGTCCTCGGTCCCCTCCACCCCCGCCACAGGAAAGTGCTGACTCGATGGATCCCTCATGTCTTGACCGATAGCACGCGGTTCAATCGGGTACCCATTTCTCAGTTTCTCCTTCTTTGTCCGCACCGAAAGGCGTTTCTGGAAGGCTTGATAACGGAGGTGGAGTGGGGTCCTCTACGATTCTAACAAGCACAGTGCCGTGTGGCTCCCTCGAGGAGAAGACCCGCCGCCGACACAAGCAAAATCGGACCTTCACCCCAAAAGCTGTCTTCTTTGCTACCTCTGGGATTCGTGAGGAATGCTGTATTATGATATGCTCCCGCAAAAGACATACCGCTACCGGCAGCATTTACGCCAGTCAGCTCTAGAAACTAGCGGACGCTGTTCAGAAAAACGACCGAGACGAACTTCTGTCCACCTACTCCACGATGACGCCAGGCCCCACATAGCTAAAGAGACCCGTGCAGAATTGGAAGAGCTGATCTGGGACGCGGTTCCCCACCCACCCTATTCCCCTGACATTGCCCTCTCTGATTATCACTTATTTCATCCCCTTAAGGCATTCCTAGCGAAGAAAAAGTTCAAAGTTGAGTTAGGCTCAAATGTCGAATACGTTGGAAAAGAAGCCGGTCAGCGATTCCTCTGCACTTACACTCCCTGCTGCAGATTCTGGCGAAGGGTCGCTGACCTTCCCATCAGGTGGGACTCTGTAGCGAGTAACAATGGTGATTATATTGTTTAGTAGATCCCATTGTATGCTGAATAAAAAAGTAAAGCACAAAAAAGTGTCAAACGGCTCAGGACTTTCTTACCATCCTAATAATTAAGTACTGAAAACAGTGGTTGTTTGCTGCTTTCTTGTCACCTCCGATTGCAGCTAGAGAGATAATGGGAAGACGGTGAAACTCCAGTTCGGGGGGGGGGCGTTGGGCACTTAGCTAGAGAGCAGTTCTTTGGGCTATCGAACACTACGGATAAGATAATAAGTGAACGACTCATTTCAAGCGTACTTTTGATAAGGACCGGTGGATGTCCTACATTCCACACATCCTACCCATTTTTCTGCACAGGTCAACCACCTGGACCTTTTCCGCCCTTAGACCTAGGCAGAGGTGTCCATCCTCCTAATACAGGACCGTTCCGTGTATGTACCAATGTACACGTCCCCACCCTCCCCCCTCCCGAACTGGAAGTTTCGTCTGGAATGAATGATCAATCTCTTCAAATCTAGCAGTAATCGAACTTAGGTCATAAATTCAGATTTGGCTGAAAATCTGCCGCTAGGGGTAATTCTGCTCCACGATCATGAATATCACACTCGTTTTGTGCGAAATCGCGTGGCACGTTTCGATACGGACTCCATGAGCTGTCATGCGGGAACATTCGCTAGACTTGCCAGCAATTGCTCATGAAGAAGCGCTGTTTGAAATCACTCTAGCTACATTGCCGGCGAAAGCAAAGCACAAACACAACGGAGGATCGATCCCGCGATGTTATGTCT